CATGCCTAATTTTAAACACTAAACAGTTAGTTTTAGTGCTACCAAAAAGACTGACCATTGAAATTTTGATTATGCTTTTTATTTTATTACATGCAAATGGTGTCATGACCTGCTCATCTGATCCTCGTGTGTGCCAAGCCCCCTCATTACCTATGCGTACTACCCCGATTGTGATCACCTGTTTCCTGTTATTTCGGTATGTGTATATTTGTGTATTTAGTCCGCATTTGAGTCCGTTTTCCCCAGATCCATCATTGATGTTCGTCGCCGTCTGCCCTGTCTTTCCATAATAAAACCCCGTTTCCTGCATCCACGCCTACCTGCCTCGTCCTTCCCCACTTCCTGCCTGTTCGCCGACCAGCGATCATAACAGAATGACGGATCTCCGAGAAGACACACCGCAGCAGACCGAGACCCAGCGCATCAGTCTGCTGCAAGAGGTGATATACTGGCTCAACCAGCCCGAGGTCCGGGAGGACCCCGTGGCACTGGAGTTAGCCAGCTGGAGCAGGACTGTCCTTTAAAGACTGTCACTGCCCAGGAATTCGCACCTCATAACCGAGGTGCACAAAAATCTCCAGTGGCCAGTGCAGCGAATAACGGAGAGGAGAACTTCGCTGGTCACACTGCACCCCATGGAGGTTGCTGACCCGCTGTCCGTCCTTACAGAGACGACGCAACCTACGTCTCTAGCTTCCGGCCGGAGGAAGAAAAGGAAGTGAAGGGAGAAGTGACCAGTGGAGGAGCCAACTGTCTTCCTGGGATCCGCCTCTCTGTTACCCACTACTCTCCTGGCCTGTGATTAGGGGGAATACCGGATCCCCCGGGTGCCCAAGCTGAGTTAGGGGGAATACCGGATCCCCCGGGACATCACCGCCGCGTCTCCCGTGAAGGTAGTAGAGGCCCGCCTAGCCACCGCAGAGCAGCCACCGTTGGCGGCTTACCCCTATAGGGAGGCACGCCTAGCTTTTAAAGGGGCCAGGGCAGTGTGGGACGCTATCCCGCAGGTCCAGAGATCTCTTAAAGGGGCAACGTCTGCTCTGCCTGTATGTGCTGTTCTGCCTGCCCAGGTTGTGCTAAATGGGCCTGATCGGCTAGTCCCGGCCGCTGCGCCCTTGGAGGCCCCTGCCACGCCACTGCCCATTCTGGCTTCGCCCGCAGCTCACCTGCCTGCTGCTGCGTTGCCCGCAGCCTGTCTGCCTGACCTGCCTGTCCCGGTGGTTGCCGTGCCGCCCAGCGAGGCTCTGGTGGTTCCTGCGGCTGCCGCTACGCCCGAGCTCCCTGCTGCGGCTGCCGCTACAGCCGAGGTCATGGCGCCACCTGTCCTTGCTATACCCAAAGACTCGACGCCCGTTCTGCCTGTCCCGTCGACGCCTGTTCTGCCTGCGGCTGCTTCGCCCTGCGTAACTCCTGTTGCAGCGGCCTCATCGCCATCCTCGGAGGCCCCTGCTATGTCACCGCCCAGCATGGTCCCAGTCCCGGTGGCTGCAACACCGCCTTCCAAGGAGCCTGCCGCTCCGTCTGAGGCTACAGGGGCTCCAGTCCCAGCCACTGTGACGCCACCCTCCGAGGTTCCTGCTGCGACGCTGCCCGAGGTTGCTGCGCCTCCTCTGCTGCCNTATCGCGGGGGAGAGGGTGCAATCATGTGGCTATATAGCACAGAAGCACAAGCCATGATAAACTATGTAGGAATATTACATAGATTCTAACTTCTGTCTAGGAGTGTCAAAATATACCGGTGTTGAGGATAATCTTGATATTTAAAAATATATATATATTGATATTGTGAAAATAATACACATATGATAATATCGTAAATGATTCAGTGCCAGCAACCATCCGATTCATACTGCAACATAGCAGGTGGCTTTATTGCTTCTTAATGCTGATTTGCACCAGTACTTAATTTATAAACTCTGAGGTGCCAGAGCACAAAGACCAACTGCAACTATCAATATATGAGGAAATGGAGCATACTGACTTTGAGTG